GTTTCAGCACAGACTGGACTGGTGTCTTACCTTAGACCCGCCCTGAGTGAGCTGTCATCAGTCCGCCATTGTTTCACCGCCGGAGCAGATGTAGACAAGAATGACTCCTAAGCGATTGAGGTGTTTTGTTATTGAATTTAATAATGAACATAGCAGTCGTCATTTACTCCCGACATCTGAGCCGCTGAAGACGCAGTGGATTACATTTGTTTTTGAAGGGAATGCGCCCCCGATCTACATAAATGCGTTTGTTCACGCGAATCAATCGTGATCCAGCTTCACCTACAGAAGAAGTGAGTATAAGGTTTTTTAATGAATCTTTGCAAATCGCCTTTCCTAATAATGTGCTAATTAGCAAGTTTCACAATGAATGCAGCTAAAGTAAACAGTTCCTCAGAGAGGGGCGGGATCAGCAGAGCTCATTAACATTTAAAAGAAAATGCTACAAAACGGCTTGCTCTGAAAAGAGCTGTTTTTGACAGGGTATAAACAATTTTTTACACTACCATTGAGAAATTTTAACCAAAATATGTTACAGACTTTTCATTAAGACCCTAAAGAATCATATAAACTTGTGGAAAATGGGCATCCGATGACCCCTTTAACAACTTGCAATTCTGAATTTTTCTTAAAATTATGTGTTTGACACAATTCTGACTGTACTTCTCGCAATTTTATATGTGAATATTTCTGTGGAAATATGCATTTTGTGATGCGGACAGATCCTTTCGTCCATTAAATTAGGCGACCCTTAAGATGACAGAATTGTGACTCAAGATTGTGAGAGAGAAATTCACAGTTTAAAAAGTCACAATTACCTTTTACATTTTTTATTCTGTGGTGGAAACAGGCTTCTGTATGTTTGAGATTATTTATTGTTCTTCATGTGATTGACAGGTGAGGACATCAAGACAGTCCAGAAAGAAGTGGCTCAGATTCTGGAAGGAAGAATATTAGTGGGACACGCCATTCACAATGACTTAAAGGTACAGTACACACAACAAAAAATGCCATTGTCACGCTCGTATTGTTCCAAACCGGTATGCTTTTTCTGTGGAACACAAACACCAGAAAAGCACCAAACTAAGCTATATAACAGCATACGGGATTGGAATAGCATGAGAGCGAGTAATGAGATATTTCTTTAACCGATGTCAGATTTATTTGAAATATCTCTGTCTTGTTCATAGATTTTGTTGCTGGATCATCCCAAGAAAATGATCAGAGACACACAGAAATACAAACCATTTAGGCAGAGAGTAAAGGTATGAATCGCAAAACACAAATGATGGGGAATTTGATCAATATTATTATTATTAATAAATAAATATGCAGTTAGTGAATTCAAGTCATCTTAATTGTCAGTGTCTGCCCTCTTGTCCTCTTCCTCAGAGCGCACGTCCTGCATTGCGGGTTTTATGCAAAGAGATTCTCAATGTTAAAGTCCAGCAGGGTGAACATTCATCTGTAAGTCTCTCATCAACATCCAAGACAAATGAAACGCTCTTCTCCATCATTTCAAACACAAGCTTTTCCCATATAAAGCAAGTTAAGGAATTCAAGTCAGTTTAGGTCATCACATAGACTAGCGTACAAAAGGTTGGGGGTCGGTAAGATGTTTTAATGATTTTGAAAGAAGTCTCTCATGCTCACCAAGGATGCATTTACTCCTGCGAAGCTGAATTTTCAGCATCGTTACTCCACGTGATCCACATGATCCTTCAGAAATCATTCTAATATGCTGATAATTCCAATGTTGAAAACAGTTGGGCTGCTTCATATTTTTGTAGTAACTGAGAACTTTTCTGGATTCTTTGATGAATAGAAAATTCAAAAGAAGAGCTTTTTAAAAAAAATATATACATCTTTTGTAACATCTTTGCTGTCACTTTTGATCAGTTTAATGTTGTGTGTGCATCATAGGTTCAGGACGCACAGGCCACTATGAGGTTGTACACTCTGGTGAAGAAGCAGTGGGAGGCGGAGCTTAAAGCGGCCCGGGCGGGTCCATTTCAGAAGAGCCCCCGAAAACCCAAAGCTCCTAAAAACCAGAGCAAATCAACTCAGATCAGCCAATGAAAACTCGTCAGACTGAAACTGAACACGGATCTGAGCAGGGAACTACTTTACTGACATGGTTTGTTCTGGAGGTTTGTAACCTTCAGTTACCTCATGATGAACTGTGTTTAATACTCCTGTCTGAATGTCTCTCAGTTTGTACTTTGATCTCAAGTCCCAACTTCTGTTATTTGAGGGATGAGACCATCAAACCGTTCAGAATATCAGGAAATAAGTGTAACTGTATTGTTGAGCCCTTTTTATACCAAGTAATTTAAATGTTCATTTTCCATCCTGTTTTAAATTACATGACAGATGTAACTGTTATTGGAGACTTTCCATACTTTTCTGTCTGAACTGCTATTAAAGACCCCATACTTGATGGCACAATGTGTTGATTTAGTTTCTGTAATAACTATACTGAAATCTTAAAATACCCCTAAAAGTCAATTTTGTCCATTATAACTCGTCTTTAATAATCAAAATTACATTTAAACCTGTAATTCCACTCCCTTATTTAGTATACTCTATGAATATTCAAATTAGCCACGCCCCCACCAACTCAATGATCATTAGCTTTTGGCTCGATTATGTTGTCAAACAGCTGATATAATGTTTTGCTAATCTTACACAAACCATGTTCTTGTGATATGCTAATGATATGAAAAGCCCCACCCCGCAATTTGGCTTGCAGAAATGGTGTTGATTTATGAATTTGAATAGTTTGTCTTTAAGCATAATAAAAGCACCAGTTCATAGACGTGAACAACGTTAAAAACTTCATTTTTAGCACAGGGTCTTTAAAAGTAATAGATAAATCCTAGTTTAGATATTGGATGTTAGAAACTGTTACATAGAAACAGAACAAGCAGGCAAGGAGGTCAGAGACAAATGTCTTTATTTAGCTCATGGAAAAACAAGAGAAAAAGACAATTTTTACACATCATTGCAATATAAGTCAGTTGCATGTCACTGATCCAACACAAATACACAGAGGGACAAGATCACTGCTAAACAGCTAATGACGTTCAAGTTTAGGTTGCGCCGAACAATTTTCAAAATATCGAACCTTCTTTTAGCCAGTAATGTTGTGTTCGTGAGATACAGAAGCGTTTAGTTATGTTTTCACATTCAGATGACAAAAAGTTCCAGCTTTGCTTCCAAATCTGGAAAACCTAAGTTAATGATAAATAATAGTTAATTCTACAACACGTCTAGGTGGACAAGAGATTTGAGCTGGTTTGTGTGCTGGTGAAGTATTGATTGAACTAGTTTACAAGCTATTGTTAGAAGTTAATTGGAAATCATTTTACCTGCTGAACATTCATGGAAAATTGTCTTACACTTTAAAATGTGTGAAAAGTTTAGTGAAAGTATTTCATAAAAGCATGTGAGCATCTAAAAAGATGAATCTCACAAACATGCACAGATCACATTTATATGGAAGCCTGATTCTGCCATGCGACTTTTTTTCTCACAATTTAGACTTTTTTTTTTAATTCTGAGAAAAAAAACTAGATTTAAACTGACTTTTGTCCTTGCAATAAAAAAAGTTTACGTCTCACAATTGTTTTTTTTCCACCACAGAATAAAAAATATTAAAGGTAATTTTCTTTTTATCTCACAACTGAGTTTATATCTCATAATTGTGACTTTTTTCTCATAATTGTGAGTTTATACCTCGCAATTCTGATATAAACCTGCAAAAAAGTCTGAACTCAGAATTGTGAGATAAAAAAAATAAAAAATGCAATTACCCTTTTTATCTTTTCATTCGGTAGTGGAAACGGGCTTCCATACATTTCACCCTAAAACCAAAAGGAAAAATTCATGTTTATTTTACATTACATTTCTGCATTGCAACGTAATGACAATTAAGCAAATAATTTTAACATTCCAACCATGATTTATTTGAATTCTCGTAGTTCTATTCCTGTAGTACAATGGTTGTATTTAAATTGAAATAAATGTGCTTAATTGTCATGAAAAGAAAAAAATTGTGGGTGCAATATGATCCAGAAGTACTTGACAGATTTCATGAAATTCACCCTTTAAAGACAAAAGACAGTAACCGTGTGAACACTAAGGTAAGAACATGACCTCTGACCTCCACACTATAGTTCTTTTATCTTGTAGTTTGTACCTTTGGCTGTCATACCAGCGGTCAGTGCTGAGACTGGCTCAGATAGATGCAGAAACAAGCAAACAACACGTCACTTTTATTCCAGAAAAGAAGCCCTTCTTCAGTGCAGCGAGAGACGCAAGGCTTGAGAGAAAAGATAGAAACACACGCAAGTTCCTGAAGACGGAAGGTAAACCGCTTGAAATGCACCTCATCATTCAGAAAAACACTCACACGAGCTTTTGAACAGACTTCAGTCAGGGCAGCGTCATATTTCATTTCTGACAGGAATGAAAATGAGGCTGTGAGGGACTTAAAGGAGTAGTTCACTTCCAGAACAAAAATTTACAGATAATGTACTCACCCCCTTGTCATCCAAGATGTTCATGTCTTTCTTCAGTCGTAAAGAAATAGTTTTTTGAGGAAAACATTTCAGGATTTCTCTCCATATAATGGACTTCTATGGTGCCCCCGAGTTTGAACTTCCAAAATGCAGTTTAAATGCAGCTTCAAATGGCTCTAACCGATCCCAGTCGAGGAAGAAGGGTCTTATCTAGCGAAACGATCGGTTATTTTATAAAAAACAAATTAAAATGTATATACTTTTTAACCTCAAATGCTCGTCTTGTCTAGCTCTGCCGTTTTTTCCGGTCCAAGACAGTTAGGGTATGTCTAAAAACTCCCATCTCATTTTCTCCTCCAACTTCAAAATCGTCCTAAATCGCTGCAGAAGTACCGACCCAGTGTTTACAAAGTGAACATGAAAAGAAGATCAAATGCCCTTTACCAAAAAACGGCAAAACAGCGATGTAGGACGATTTTGACGTTGGAGGAGAAAATGAGATGGGAGTTTTTAGACATACCCTAAGTGTCATGAACAGGAAAAAACAGTTCATGCAGCGCTAGACAAGAAGAGCGTTTGAGGTTAAAAAGTATATACATTTTAATTTGTTTTTTAGAAAATAACCGATCGTTTCGCTAGATAAGACCCTTCTTGATGACAAGGGGGTGAGTACATTATCTGTAAATTTTTGTTCTGGAAGTGAACTACTCCTTTAAGTTCAGCGTTCAATAGATTTTACTGCTGTTTAGTAACAAACCGATTGTTCAGCTGATGAAACATCTTTACACAAAAACGTTCATGATCTAGGACCTTTATACAGTGCTTGCGGTTGTAAAGAGTGTAAGTCTGTCCCTCACATTAGTTATACCTTTATACAGTGCTTGCGGTTGTAAAGAGTGTAAGTCTGTACCTCACAGCAAACCGATTGTTCAGCTGATGAAACATCTTTACACAAAAACGTTCATGATCTAGGACCTTTATGCAGTGCTTGCGGTTGTAAAGAGTGTAAGTCTGTCCCTCACAGCCTCGTTTTCATCCGTGTTCAATTCAATATGATGTCCAACCTGATTAACGAGCGCAGATCAGACTCTCAGAGACCACCAAATATCAAATAAAGAAAGTGACTGCGAGATTTTAGAGCAGCGCATAGCAAAATTACATTCCACCGTTTCTTATGAACACCAAACATGCTGCAGCAAAGGATTCTGGGTAAAGGCCTGTTAGAGGTACAAAAACGCGCAAACACACTTTGTTTTAATCCCTGAAGAGGGCCTGAAATCGCTGAAACACGTTTTTTTTTTTAACCATGCCTACACATTAAAATACAAGTTTGTTTGTTCTTTTAAAAGATTTACTTGTCACAAATGTTTCGGAACAAAGAATTCTGGGAGAAAATCCCAATGGCCAAAAATTCCAATTCCCTGCACTGGTGTTGAGGTGGTTTGTTACCAGAGACGGAGACGGTCGCTGAAGTTAATTTGCACTCCAGCTTTGGGTTTAGTAAAGTGAAACATAAAATACGTCAGTTTTTATAAAGAAGGATGAAAATAAAATAAATACTTAAAAAAAAAAAAAAAAAAAAAATTAATGATGCTGAAAATTCAGCTTTGCATCACAGGAATAAATTACATTTTAACATATATTCACATAGAAAACAGTTATTTTGAATTGTAATAATATTTCACAGTATTACTGTTTTTACTGTATTTTTGATCAGATAAGTGCAGCCTTGATGAGCAGAAGAAGATAAAAATCTTATCAACCCCAAACCTTTGAAGTGTATATTACAGTTCATATTAAATTCATATTTGTTCATAATACATTAACTAATGTTAGTTTACATTAGTTAAAACAGTCCAAATGTAAAAATAAACAAATAATTAAAAAAATAAGATTTAAATAAATAAATATACAGTACTACAATGAGTAGAAAAACATCATAATGTAACTTAATAGAAACTTAAAAGAAACTAATGTAATGTAGAATATTTATTAATCATGAATGAAAGATTAATACTACGTTACACTAACATTTACTGACGTCATTAAAGGATAAGGCTTTTATTTTATAATTTTACACACATCATTGGGTTGCACTGACATTTGCATTCAGATTAATTGGTTTAGACAGTTACACCTGTTGTGTGCAAATTTCTCCTATAAGACAAAAACAGCTCAGTGGATGATTTAGCTTTCAGAGTTTCCATGTGTGCCCTGGATAAAGACCACTTTTTGTTTGACAGTAAATCGTCCCCTTGGAATCATAAGATTCTATCTGCATTCCGAGTAGTTTTGAGATATTGAGCTTCAAAGTTTTTGCATTCCTTTCGACTGTCTAGATAGAACCTTTTCGTTTTTTAAATAAAAAAGTCCCAAAATGTACACAACATTACAAAATCTATCACATAATGTAAATAAGTTGTCACAGAATAAGAATATGTGAATAACTCAATTTTGACAAAAATTTCAGATAGGACCTTATAATTCCAAGGGGACGAAATATGTATTAGTTACATAATAACATTGACTATCCAGTGAAGGGAACAGCTGTAAGCTGCACTCACCCACAGTAAAACAGTGCTTTCTGCCAGGGCTTCAGACGGTCCGCACGCGCCGCAATAGCATTCGCAAACTCAACGAACTGACAGCAGAAGGGCACCTCACACAGGAACAACACAAACGCTGTCAGCCTGAGGGGAAAAAGAAGAGACAGTTCATCTTCTGAATGGCTTATATACTACATTAAAGAACACTGAATGAATGAACTGAAATGTAATTTCTTACACCATCCAAACTCCAGCCGCGATGTTTAACGGATTCACAGTCACGCAGTTCCAGATGCCCATTGATGCACATGCTAGAAAATAAAAATGACAGAAAAGTGTTACGGTTTTGAAAAGAACATCTATATTTGTCATCTGAACAATAAAAACATTGTGATTAGTGGTAAATCAAAATGGGTTTTTCCAGTAACCGTTATGAAAACCTCAAAATGACCAAATATCAACCAAATATTTGCCCTATAGCCCAGGATTTCCCAAGTTAATAATTAAATAAATATTTTACAAAAAATGTATTAAACATTTTTTATTAATAATAAATAAATAATTTCAAAATAAAAAATACTTTTAAAATAAAAACGGGTCTGAGAGTGCTAAGGGTTCATGGAAAATGTTAAGAAAAACAGTGTTAAAAAAACAACAATAATAATGAAAACATAATAAATTTATTAATTTTGTAAATAAAAGATTAATATTCAAAAATATCATTTGATTTAAAGTTAAAATAAAAAAAAAAGATTTTTAAATAAACACAATCAATACAACATTTACTAAAAAGATTAAATATTTTGTTTACCTTCATGTCATGTGAACATAAATCAGTATCATCAATAACAGAGAACTTTGAATATGCAAATGTGTTGTACAATTATTGAAATATTAACTTAAAATCTTATATATATATATATATATAT